ACTCCAGGCAGCGGACAGAGTTAGCCTGCAATATTGCATTCTAATCACTATGTCACAGGGCTCCTGCTTGTGGCTGCACTGTCCCAGCATCATGTGATCACTATTTGCAACCTTTGCATCTCACTTCCCAGAAGCAGTCAATAAGGGAAGCTAGATTCACTTAGTGACTACAAGATTCACCCCTGCAGTGATTTGCTTAACAACTGTGGCAAAAAAAGCAATAGAATTCAGAGTGACCTGAATAGCCCCATCTTGTTTAGCAACAGAAATTCTGCACCCAATTGTGGTCATAAGTCAAGGACTACTTCTATATAGGCCACAAAATGTATTTCTGGATAGTAGCCAAGCCATGGTCTTTATAGTGGTCCAGACTAAGTGATATGTTGGGACATTCTGGAGAAAAATATGATATGTACCCCTTGTAAAACAACCCTACAATTTATGAATTTCTGTATCTCTATTTCCTAAATTATTATATGGCTTTTAAAAAATATTACAAATATGAAAATATATTATCAATCAACCAATTCGGCCTGTCATTTATCTACTGTAAAAGAAAACAGGTAACAGGTAACCTCAACAAGAAGCTAAACTTCTCAGCCCAGAAAGCTTTGAAACAGTTTCTAAAGAACCATTTAAACTCCCCGGTTATAATTTCAAGGAAAAGTTTTATTTTATCAAGAATCAAATGAGGATATTTGATCCTGGGAGGATCAGAGATAATGACTGCAGTGCGTTGATATAATTTGAAATATTTTATTGCAATTATTTTGGCTCATTTGACTACATTTACAAAGCAGGGGCATCTCCCTTTGTGATTGCCTTCTGCAAGAAGAAAAGATTATGGAAGAAGGCTAGATTAGTTTATTTGCTCTTTCTTCACACTCTCTGAGGTATTTTGTCTTTCTAGCATCATGACCTAGGAATATAAGTTAAAATTTTAAAAGTGTAATGGAATTAGAAACTGTTCCATTTTTTAATTCCTCCTCCTCACCTCCATTCCTTGTTACCAATATTGTCATGCTGTTTGCATTTCACCTGTAATGCTCAGAATGTGCCTGACTCTGCGATAACCACAGGAAAGCAATTGCTCCTTAAATGAAAATGCACAGGAGTACAGTGAGGTGCAATCCCCAGCAATTATTTCAAATGCAAGAATAAATAGAAAGGAGAGGAAGGCCTGTGCCTTGCTGTTAAGGAATCTCATATATATGTTAATATTGGTAGAATGTCAGCTTTCTCCAATTTGTTCTCTAACAGTCCTGCTGACTTGCCTTCTCTGTCTTTGTCAGGCTACTAAACTGGGAGGGTGGAATGGGCATGGGATGAAGCAGTATTATCTGATATCAGCAAAAAACATCTGTGACTCTTATTACCAAATGCATTGTGCACTGCAAAGCCCGTTTCCTTGAGACAGTAAAGGAATAAACGGCTTAAACCTCAGTTCACATTTGCTTTAGGAGAAGACGATAAATATGAACTTTCTCTCTTTTGGACAGCCTAGAATAATTCCCCATCAGAAACACTGCTTGAAGCTCTGAAGCGTGGTGTCGAGGTCTCTTGTAATCCGGTGTGATCTTTTTTTTCCCCTTTTGCTGATGAGATATTCCTTAGCTGTGTTCAAAACTTTATTGTATTTGACATTTTTTTTCCAAATTACATTTCTGCCTTGGATTCAAACTTCTTTTATCTGACCGTTGACTTTGTTGTGCCTCGATCTCTGATCTTCATTGATTCATTTCCATGGATGATTGAATGCAGCACTTTAAGAACTGCCCAGCCTATTCAGAAATTATTGCTGTAAGAAGTACATATTTTTTCCAAATGTTTATGTATGGGTCCTTTGAGTGATAAGCTTGGGCAGATTATGGTTAACTATACCTAGCCCAGAGATGGGTTCCTACTGGTTCAGACTGGTTCGGCCGAACCGAAGGTTTGGCGGCCTGGGTCACTGGAACTGGCAGCGACTCAGGCCTGCCGCACACCTGAACTGGTTCTCCCGGCAGCGGTGTAGGTGCCGCCATCTTGTTTTTTGCTTCTGCGCATGGGCATAGCAATTTTTATTGCACTGCACATGCGCGCAAAGTGTGTGTGCAGGGCGCGGCCACGAGCAAACCAGCAGTAGTGACTGCCGGAACCCACCCCTGACCTAGTCCTTTACTTATGCTATAATCACTTGTCCTTTGTGTTTTTTTCTTCAAGAGGGCTAAAGGCCAGGTAAAGACAAAGCTTTAGTGAACAATGATTGGGTTGATTGATTTGGACAGTAACACCACCTTAGGAAATCTAGTTCTGATTTGGTTTCTGTTTTATGTTACGGACTGAGATTTGGGCTGTGTGAATGTGTAATGTGAATGTATATGAGCGAGACAAAGAACTCGACTAGTGGGAGAATCTAACTTTGATCAGCTTTTTCAGAGAGTAGTTCTCCTGACTTGTATCTTTTCTTTTCAACTTCTTGGTCTTTCACATGTATTATGTATGTGCACTATAACATCTAGAATTCTTAAAGAACCAGGAAAAGTTTATTCCTCCTGAGTAAACTACTGGCAGAGAGATTTCTCTGGAAAAAAGTGATGCCTAGTCAGCTTTCCCCATGATGGACAAATGTTTGTAGCCTTTTGCATACATTACAACCTCAAAGGTTGAAAGCATGAAGACATCAGTCAATGAATCCCTTTCTTTTCAACCCTTAGATCTTCCCACACAATAAAGTCTCTCAAAGGGCAGCATTCTGGCTTTACGTGATTTCTACAGTCAGATGATTTGCTCCCATGGACAAAGAGGCATGGTGTCATAGAGCCCCTGAGCATGTCCAGGGTGTGGTGTGGAACATTATTAGGCTTCCACGGTGAACTTTGGATGAAGTTTCCAAATGAAGCCTACTGCTAATCAAATACTTTCCAAAGTAAAATGAATAGCTGTTTAGAAGTATTGTGTTAGCCATTTTATGTTAAGCTGATTGAAATAATCTTCGATGGGAAGTGTGTATAAATTGCGGCAGCAGCCCAACTGTTATGCGCACCAAGGATCAAAATTATTCAGTTGCTTACCTCCCAAATGATTGGCCATAAACACTGGCTTAGTTGTAATGACAGTGTTGCTCACAATGTGCCCAGAAAACCAATTATGAGAAATATAAACCACATGACTATCAGCCCCCAGGAAACACAAATATTATTATTAAGGTTGGTTATAAACAGTTAAGATCTGTAACACAATACACAGTTTGTGGCATCCAAGTTTGGATTCCATTAGCACATTCAATTTCTTGGTTATTTAGATTTTGAAGATTAATGCTGAGTGCACCATGGAATGGTTGTCGCCTAAATAATAATCAGAGCTGCAACGGCAACTGACTTGTCCTAATGCTACCTCCCACACGATGAGTTACGCATTTGAAAGTTATTCTTCCTTACAGCAGAGGAACAGCACGTCTTTTGACCTGCAATCTTAAGGAATTAATCAACTGAATAAATAAATTGAAGTTGGCAGTGTGAATTATATTTTGGATTTTAAATCTCTAGGATTTAAGAACTCTGGGATGTCGATGCAAATGCTTATTCTTCTTTGGGAAGGAACCAACTTATTTCAGTTTCTATCTTTCCGATGGAGCTGGTGAACCATTCGGGAGGACAGCTGCGTGGGCAAAGCTAATTGCCAGCCTTCAACTGCATTCATTTATGAGAAGGCCTCTGGGTCCATATTGGCAACTTCAGCAAATAATGAAAGCTGGTGGGCTGTCCCAACTCCTTCCAAAAGCGAACTATATAAATGGTGCTATGCTGATATGATGAAATGCTAGGTAGTCAGTAGGAGACCTGAGAAGCAATCCAATGCATTTGTTTTTTCTTCTTTTTAATAAATGATATTTTGTTGTTGGCCAAAACTCATTTTGTAAATAGTTAAGCTCAAAGTTTGCTGAGAGGGCAACATATCTGCAGAATCCCAATAGTGCTATGAGCGCAGATAGATCTCCTAATCCTGTAGCATAAAGAGGATCCCTGCAGAACATGGCAGTGGGTGGGTCAAGTGACAAAAACAAAATTCAATTGGATGGAAGCTGTGCTCTTTTTAAATTTGTGGTGTAATGTTGTTTAGAGGTATGGAAAGGGGACATTGTTTTGGGCCTTGCATTGACACATTTGTGGACACCTCTGGCTGTAGCATACCTATGTGAGATAGCTGCACGGAATAAGAATAATATGGATTTATGACTCAAGAGGCAATCTTCTCCCTTAACAACTTTAAATGGTGGTATGCAAAAAAACAAAAACCTTCTGTTCTGTAAGATTAAATGTAGTCTCATCTCCAATTGATTTCCCATGGCTCTCTTAAAAGATGGAAGCATCACTCCAAAGTCCGGAGCTTTTTTTAAAATCACACTTTTATTATAGATTAACATTTTAAAAGAAAAATAAAGTCAGCTATGTCAAATGCCCAAGAACTTTGGTTCTATTCAAGCCCCTCTAGTTTACAAATGTTTCCCCTTAAAGATGCAATGTTCAAAGCTTAAGTCATTAAAAGCCAAGTCAGCCTCAAAGCCTTCACATCTTTCTGTGAGGAAAGCCTAGGTTTCCCTTCCCATCAATGCAAAGACGTTCAAGAAACGAATGCTTGCTCAATAGCCCTCATCCCCAAAACCAATAAAAGAAAAATAACATGGAGAATAATCATTACCGCACAAATGAAAGATAACAGGGGTTCCAAGTCATTTCCCATTTGGCTGCCTGCCACCATTCTTGTGATGCCTAATCATGAAAGGTAATGGATTGTATTGGTTCAAATGTCACTCATCTGGTACTGTCTGTACCTCCACCCCCCTCCAAAAAGCATCGGTGACTGTCATATTTTTCTATTACATTACAGTACCCTCATGTCACATCATTTAAAAACACAAGAATTAGCAAATCAGGCAAAAGGAGGGATAGAAATATTTCCCTTTTGCTGCAGCATACAAGGAGATCTGAACATAAGAAACTCACAGACTATTAAAAGCAGTCACTTTTCTTCCACAATCCTTCAAAATTTATTTCCAATCAGTTACCTCTTGCAAGCTTATAACAACCTGGCAAGATTCATTGGAATGAGGCAGGGGGAAAAGAACAGCTAAAGGGCAACCAATGGATTTTTATGGGCAAAGAAAGATTTGAAGAGGCAATGCAAAAGCAATTCTATGAAACAGATTTTGTACCTTGCCTAGAATTCACTTAGAATGTGTTGAATGTGCATAGCATACTGCACTGTCATCTACTTGAGTAGATGTTAGGCTAGCAATTCTGGGGCAGTACAGTTTGTGGTTCAACATCAAGCAACCCCAGAAAACTGGATTAATAAATCAAATTAAGTTTATAGTCCACAGAGACAATGAGATCTTTTTCCAATGTGTTCAAGCAGAACATAAACCATCATACTTTCATTTGGGTAGGGTAAAATTGGCCCAATGAAATCAACGGCCCCTTTCAAGTTCTAGGAATTAGTGAAACCACAGTTAAGTTAACCAAGAGTATGCGTGCCTTGTGAACTCAGCCAGGATCTTTGCTTAGTATGAAGAATCATAAAGTGTACACAACTGTTTAAAAAATCCCAGTTGGTTGCATTTTCCTATTGGAGAAAAATTGCTAGGTAAAGCATTATTTCATTTTCATACATATATTTTACATTTTAGGTTTTTTTTTAAAAAAACCAAGTTCAGAATTAGAAGATAGGCCTATCAAAAGAATATTGCCTTCATTGGGACTTATGTTCATTTTTTTTACCAGTGCTCTAAATAGTGATGGCAGTTGTGAAATTCATGCTTCCCCAAATCCATTCTTACAGATATACTATAGGTTTCAACTTAAAAATACATATCAAGTATTTATAATATCAGATGACTTTAAAAAAAAATAACATTGGGGAAAAAAATCGCTTGCACAGAAATTGTTATAAGTGCCATCTAAAATTATATCTATTGAGGAAAGTTTCTCCAAAAATGTGACTGAAATTTATGCATTTTTCTTTAAAATTGCAAATTAATGCAGGTGTAGAAGGAAATGAATGTAAGGTTTAAAAAAGGCAAAATTAAGTGAAACTGAAATTCACCAATTCACACAGCCATCATTAACATGTTTTTCTCTTGCTTGGATGCTTGAACTAGATGAAGTTGTGTGGCAATGTTCATTTTCTTTGGATGTCTCATGTCCAGGGATTATGAAGTGAATGTTGTGGTGCACTTACCAATTAGTCAACTACTGCACCCTATAAAGCTTTGAGAGTCTCCCCTTAGACAATGATAAGCCACCATGTATTAGCCACATGTGAGCATGCAAAACCAGCAGTGATGGGTAAATTCCTGAACCCATTCTGACACATCTTCAACATTTTTTTTGAAGATATGATTTGGTGATCAACAAAACTGGAGTAGTAGAGCATGTATTACCATTCCTGAAACTTTTTTTTTTGCATCCCTTAACTTCAAGAATAATGAGGTGATTGTATAATAATAGTAATAATAAATGCAAAGCTTTGACCATCCTATTGACAAACACAGTTAAGCCTTCCGTCCTTTCTTCTTGCAAAATGCACTTCTTTTGAATGGGAAAAAGAAGATATTTTAGCTGCTGATTTTGGTAAACATCTTGTTAATTGCTTGCTTCACATGAGTAGTGGAACTTCGCCTCCGAGTCTTGCCTTGAACCATTTTCCGGCGTCGCACTTCCCGGCAAAGCTCATAAAACGCTTCCATAATGTTGCCTTCTCCTGTACATGCAGAGCATTCGTAAAAGGCGCACGCTAGTTCGGTGGCCAGCTTTTCCCCTTCCTCAGTGCTGACCTGCCTGGAGTGATCCAAGTCTGCTTTGTTCCCCACTAGAATCAAAGTAACGTTCTTGGGTTTTTTGACTTCATCCAACAAGTTCTTTAGGGGAAGGACTTCTTCAAAGCTGCCTCTATCTGTGATGTCATACACCAGCACAAATCCTTCACCCCATCGTACGTGCCCTTCCTTCTGAATAACATCCTCCTATTTCAAAAAAAGAGATACAGAAAGAAGAAAGTTATTTTGCAGATCAACAGGAGACAAGAGTCGTATAGATTATAGGGATCTCTGCACAGCAGAGTTTCTATGTGATGTTATATTTTTGGTGAAATTCTCTAGGGTATGGCATTAAATGTATACGGACACATAGCTGCACAAAGAGAGAAACATTAACAACCTTGTATTTACTCCACATCCAAGAGAACATCACCAGAACTGAAATATCTTTATTCCCAATTTTAGACCACTATATTATTCTAACATTCTGGCATTTTAGTTCTTCCCCTTTGAGCTTTGCATGGCCTGGCTATTGTGGTCAGACTAAGTTACACTAATTGATGGTTGTTCTAAGGAATGGAATATGAATCTCATCTATCCAAGTGAGAATATTTGCATCGAGGATGAAAATAGTCGTACACATCTGGGTGAAGAATTGTCTTTGAGATTTGAAGATTTGAAAAACCTAAAATTATTTTTGAATTTGGCGCTTGCGAAATACTTGCTTCACAGGTACGGTGAACCTGTGTTTTTCAAACGCTGTTGAATTTGCATGTTAAGATAATTACATTTAGTAACCGGAGAAGTGCAGTTGTGCAGTGAGCCAGAACCCACAATTGTGGCTGATTGATTGGAGAGTGCAGGGTCCTGCGTGAGGCAATCTGTGCTGTGATTGGTTGCTATGGGTATTGAGCGGGCGTTTCGCATTTTCCCGCCTTTTTTCTCCTGTGTGCCCTGTGTGCTTGGTGATTTACCTCATGATGCTCCTATTTGCCTGACTATCTAGTCCATTGTATATATTGATGCAAAATATATTTATTTATATACTATAAGCAGGTGTCAGTCTATAGCTTCATTTGGACACCTGCGGTGCAATTCTCTGACACTGCAACTTCCAGCTGCTCTAATTAACAGAACTGTGCAAAATGTTCTCCTTTGTAATATTCTGACATTGGAATAGCCGATTTAAAGGTTGGACCATCTCCATTAAATTCAGAACAGTTATTCTGAGGTTAGAATGTGACATTCTGAAATTAAACAAATAACAGAGTTGGAAGAGACCTTGTAGGTCATCTAGTCCAACCCCCCCCCACCCAAGCAGTAGACTCTATGCCATTTCTGACAGATGGCAGTCCAGTCTTTTCTTGAAAGCTTCCCTGTGATGAAGCTCCCACAACTTCCAAAGGCAATTTTTGTTCCATTGATTGATTGCTCTCACTGTCAGAAAATTTGTCCTTATTTCTAGGTTCAATCTCTTTGATCAGTTTCCATCTATTATTCCTTCTCTGGCCTTCAGGTGCCTTGGAAAATAGTTTGACTGTCCCTCCTCTCTGTGGCAGCCCCTCAAATATTGGAAGAGTGCTATCATGTCTCCCCTGGTCCTTCTTTACTAGGCTAGCCATGCCCAGTTCCTGTAACTGTTCTTCATATGTTTTAGCCTCCAGTCCCCTAATCATCTTTGTTGCTCTTCTCTGCACTTTTTCTATTATAAATCAGAATATTCTGCAAAACATATTGTACATTTTGATTAGTCACCAGGTCCAAGGGGAAAGCAATACTGGCGGTTGTAGGTTATCTGGAGGTCTACAGATTCCATATCCTTTAGTTTTGCATATTAACAGATTTTTAAAAACACATCTCAGTTTAATTACTTCAGCTACAATGATATAAGTTACTGCAATTGAAGGGGAAGATTCACAAAACTGAATGCAACATTAAAAAAAAACACACCTGGAAAAAGAATGTGCAGCAAATGCCCTACCATTTAAAAATAAATACCTTGATAAATATTTCAATCCCATTATTGGCATAAGCCTGTGACATTTCAGTAAATTCAGTGTAACCTTCATTGAATGTTGCTTTTGTATACAGATTAGAAGTCCCATTTTCACTCTGGCATTCAGCTGTTGCTAAGACAGATCTCTGGCATCTGGCCTGCCTTTCAAAATTACTATCTACTCAGAACTTTCCTACATTTAATTGTATTTGTGAAATGTGAAATGATGTGAAAATTAAACCATTTTTCAAATACAGTATTACTCTTCATCATCGTAAACACATGGAGGGGAAAAACACTACAGGAGCTGCTGACTTTGTCTTTCATGCTCTTCTGTTAATGGTAAATGATAAAATATCAGTATCTCTTTGTTCCAGTTGGGAAATTCTACAAATGTTTGCCAATTCTTTCTTTTCCATAATTTTCCTAGTGAACGGAGAGCTGTGCCACTGAGTTCCAATGACAGAGGCAGGATTTCTTTATCTATCTGATTAATGTCAGTGGAAAATTACATTTCTATAATAGATAAAATTCCCTTAGAAATGACGTTATTTTCCTGTACTTTTTCATACAGGTCAGACTTCTATGTCCTCCCAATTGCTTATGAGCAAAATTGTTGGAGGGGGCTGAAGGAAAGAGAGAAAAGGGGAGGGAGGGAGGGAGGAAGGAAGGAAGGACAGCTTTCTCTGTAACTTTTGTTGACAATTTATATTTTTTTATATTTATATTTTTTTTAAAAAAATGTGATCTCCAGAACGAGGCACAATAATATATCAAGAATACCATTAACATTGTATGCAAGTTGAAAAATATTGTTTTGATTGGAAGACTTTATTTAACTCTATGCTAAGATGTACTCTGTATAAACCAGGGATGCAATTTAATCTTTGTTTGTATTCCTGCTTTTTAAAATCCCCTCCTCATTGTATTTATTTATATAGGACCTTCCAAGTCAATCATATATAAATCAGTTCCCCTGGACTTGATGGAACTTACTCTCAACTGCACCAAGACAGAATAGAATCTTTACATTCTATGGAGTGAAACATCCCGTAATAATGTTTCTTAAAACTTTCCCAGCCCGCATTTTTCTACAACAGACTTATATAGAAAGATTCATAATTAGACGTCTCAGAGATGTTTCTTTCTAAAAATTTATTTAAAGCAGTTTTGTGGGCACTAACTCTAATTGAACTCTTTTACCTCTCCCCCCCCCACTCCACATATAAGATCATTTTCCACTAGGAAAAAAAGCTACATAGGGGAATAATTAATACCTATATATCCTCTCCAATAGATCTAATAACAGCTCCTGGGGCTAGTTCCACATTTCAGGTCAGGTTTAACCCTACTCTGTCCTTCAGAAATACTTGGAAGGGAACTATAATTCTCCTCCATCATCATTTGGTCTCTAAGGTGTCACTTCCTTTGGAACTTTCACAGTATTATAGGACTGGAAGGACCTTGGAGGTCTTGTAGTCCAACCCCATGCTGAAGGCAGGAATTCTATATCATCACAGTCAAATGGTTGTCCAGTCTATTCTTGAGAACTTCCAGTGATGGACACCCACAATCCCAGGAGACAAGTTATTCCATTGATTATTTTTTCTCATAGTCAGAAAATTTATCCTTATTTCTAGGTTGGACACTTTCACAAGCTTTCATCCATTACTTCTTGCCCTGACCTCTTTTCTTTGTGATAGGCCCTCAAGTTTAGTTATCATTTAACGTATCTGGAGATTTAGTTTTCAGACACTTTATCAACTTTGTTGCTCTCCTCTGACACTAACCAGGGTCTCAACATCTTTTTTGTATCATGGTGACCAAAACTGGATTCAGTGTTCTCACTAGCATGGTATAAAGTGGTACACATCTTGTTGCTTTGGTATTATCCTTCTGTTGATGCAGTCTAGGACTGGATTGGCTCTTTTGGCAATCTGACTCATACTTAAGTGAAGACCTACATCCCTCTCACAGTTATTACTGTTGAGTCAGGCACCACCTATTCCATACCAGTGCATTTGGTTTTTCCTTCCTAAGTACATGACCTCACTTTCTTCATCAATGAAATGCATCTTATTAGAGAGGGCTCAATGCTCAAGTCTGTCAAGATTCTTCTGGATCTTCAGTGTACCTTCTAAAATATTGAATATTCCTTCCCAATTTGGTGCCATTTGCAAATTTGATGAGTTCCCCCTCTATCTCCTCACCCAGATAATGTATGAACATTTTGAAGAGTACTGGCCAGCCAAGACTGAACCTTGAGGTATCCACCTCATGTATCTTGACATTCTCTTGTTTTGCCTCGATTAATAAGCACACAAACCAACAAAAATCAATTGAGATTTTTGAAACACTAAAACTACCAGGAATATGAAGCTTCCCTTTCACACTCTCTCACAGTTGGCCTACTATTTTTTTATTATTCTCCTTTGTCCCTTTAATAGTATTTCTCTTATAACATTCCACACGTGAATACTTGACAACTTTCCCCCAGTGTTAATTATAGTTTTCTGGCATTGGCATTTTGCTACAGGGATCAGCAGTGTTCTTACCTGCCCAGCTGTATCCAGTATTTCCATGGAAACGACTTCATCATCAATGGTGGCTTGATGACGATAAGTGGACTCTTATAAAAGGAATGAGAAATACTACATTAAAAGGAAACAATCAGAAAATATGGTGCATTTCTTTATTTCCTGCTCATTACACCTTTCCACTACTTTCTGTCCTAAGAAATGTGTTATTACTTCAACCCATTTGGTCTGTTTCATTAGCAGGAGGGCAAACCAAAAAATGTTATTGAAAATCAGTCATTTTGCTATTCAGTTTCAATGGTATGATCTGGAATTGTTCTGGAGACCAAAAATGGAAGCAAAGGGTGGATGGTCATATAAGTAAGCCAAAGAGATGGCAACAATTGCCATGGCCACAAATAGGTTCAACTGCCTCTTGTTCTGGTCAATGGCTTGTCCAAGGGGAAGAGCAGAGGGACAAGCTCCACTTAGCACTACGAGATTCATATGTATAGTATTTGGAAGTTGATAATGATATTATGAAATCCATGTGAATTGCAGTTAAAATTAACTCAGCTCCCCAAATTCATCACATAATTTATTTTGAATAATTGCAACAATCGCAACAGATATTGGTGCCTATATTTGATGCTCAGTATTTTAATAGTTGATGGCCAATATGCAATAAGATTTGGTATTTGACCGATCATGACGTCTGGATGTAAAATTTAATCATGCCCAAAATTCTCATTTCACATTTTAGTTTTTTTTTCTTTATTTCAACCTTAGTCAAATCAAGCTCCCACTCTTTTGTTCATGTGCAAAAACGTGAAAAGTCATTGGATTTTCCAAGATACTTTCTACTTGCATTTGTCATTCATCCTGAAACTGTACCTTGAAACAAAAAATGGCTGTACTTAGAAGTTATTTTGGTTGCCCTGTGACGTCTTGTGGTTGTCTAGTTGATGGGATATCCAGACTAAAACTGAGATTCAAGGCTTTTCTTGACAATATGCAAAAGATCTTAGCATGAGGCTAAAATATATTTGTCATTAAGATTAGCCAGATGGGATAAGATCTTTTCATACCCTGGATTATAAAGTGACACACCCTGGTGTTATAAATCCAGGAGTCTCTATTGTGTCAGCTTCAACTAGTAAGATTTGAGTTAAGCAGAATGCTGGGCTAGATGATGTCAGTCCCTTCCAAGTCGTACAATTAATCAGAAAGAGGGATGCATGAAAAATTTGGTGCACCAGATCATTTATAAGTATGAATATAATTATCTTGAACTTGATCTTGAACTTCTCAAATGTAGAGAAGCCTCCAGAACATAAATGCATGCTGAAATATTCACTCCAAAATGTGGTTTATACCTTGAAAAGATCTGCAAAAAAATATGTGCAAAAATGTTTATGTTAAGGAAAAATAGATACCAAAATGATCGTCTGAAAATTTTAAGCCAAATAGTATTTCTTCTTTACAGAAAAACTGTGTCAAAATATGTAAAGAAGGAAAAGTTCATTTGAACACCTACCCCTGAAGAAATATAAACAAATATATAAAAATGTGCACAAATATTGCTATGAGCCTTTGATATTTTTTTTTTCAATTGAGTCCATACAAGCCACTAAACAACTTTGATCTGATTAAATCAGAATCTTGGCTATGATAAGAAGTGACAGTTTGTCTCCATGGAACAGTTTTTTTTTTTTTACAGTGACAGTGTTTATATGTTTGCCCTTTGAATCAGTGTTGACTCCCAGGACCTGCTTAGATTAGTCTCTGCAATCTTTTTGGCGAAATTTTCAGAAATCTTGGTTTGCCCAGGGCTGAGACAGAAGAATGGACCCAAGGTCACTCAGAATTTGTGTAGCTCAAGGTTGAACGGTGGAGTCCTTGGTGTTCTTTAAGGTTGGCTGGGACAATGTAACATCTTCAATACTAGAGGGGAGAGGAGTTTGCTCTCCTAGTCCCCCCAGCTGGTTTTGTAACTCATGGTGTCCCAATTTCTAGCTTAGTGTTAAACAAATGGATTCTCAAGTTCAAATCCACAATAATCCATGACATTCACCACCAAATGGCTTTAGGCTTTGTTTCTATCTCTCAGCCTGTCAGCCCAGGAGGTTTTAGAACAGGGTTTCCCAATGTGTGGTAGACACACCTTTGGTCTTTCCTAAAGGTATTACATATGATTTCTGGTGCAGATGACAAAATGCAAAGTTAAAGGAAAATGACCCCAAATTGAGGTGATCATTCATCTCACATAGTTTCCCATGGAATTTCAGTTGGAAAAAACATGCAATTTAGCAGTCTTGCATCATTTTAACCTAGCATTTTTTTTAAAAAAAACAAACATTTTTATTTAATTTGGGGATCTTCTAATAGTCAATAACTGGGACTGTTTCATGAATCAAGGCTTTTGTAATATTACAGAAATCTGCATAAAGGGAAAAAATGGGGACTATTGTTTTAGAGTAAATAGAAAGGAAAAAATGCATTTCAATTTTTGTCCCTGTAAAAATGGAAAAGATATAATTGTAATTTATTATACATTAGGAAAAGGTGATGCAATATGTGTGATTCCCCCCCCCCCCGCATTTATTTAGACCTTCTGCCACTGTCATTATTCAAATGACAGACTTGCATTTGATTATGTTTTGGCCTTGTTCCCTGACTGGCTTAAGAGCCAACATTCTGGAATATGTTAAATCCTACACTTCAAATATTTAGATCCATATTTGAGATATTTGTTTGGTGTTTATTTAAAAGCAGCAGCAACACTGCAGGATGGAGAATTCTGCATCACACAGCATCACACCTCTCTCTTTCCCACTGACCTTATTAATTTACTCTAAATTGCCAGTTGCACCGCACTGACATAAAACAAAAACAAGATAAAAACATTAAAAGGAGACTGGGGAAAAGAAAACAAAGAAATCTCCCCTGCACTGCTGCGAATTGTCTGGTTAATGAATTTGTTGCGGAATAAATAACATATAAATAACAGTGGAGTCTTCTCTGTCTCACTTCCAAGTTATTCTGTGCTAATAGGAAAAATACTTAGAGGTGGTGTAGGTTGTGAAGTAACAACTGGGTGGGCAATACGGTGCAATATCATGAAAAAAACAAAGCAAAACCTGTGGTATCCTTAAAGTTTATTTTTAAAAAATGGCAGTCATGGTTGTACCATTTAAACTCCAGCTAGGTGATCTACAAAAAAGAAGGTGGAACTTCAACTGTCTCCTATCTTCAGCTCTTGACCAGATTCCTCACACATTTCTATCTGTGTAACCTCCCACAAATGCAGAGACCCTCTCTAGTGAAATTCAGAAGCCACCTGTAATCAACATTTGGCAAGTTCTAAGGCTTTTTAGTCCTTCAAACACAGTAGTGCTAAGGCCAGAACTGAAGATGGATGCAGAAAATCTTTACCTTTCACTTCGGTAAGCAGATTTTTGTCTGTCTTGGCTGAATGAGAATGCTTGAAATGTGGTGTAATGGTACATAGGAATTACTTTGGGAGACAGAAGGAAGAGTGGCCGGCTAAGGAATTTTGAGAATTAAAGTCAGCAAGTCTTAAAGTTGCCAAGTTTGGAGATCTCTGCACTAGACCATGGTCAGACAGGTGGCAGCTGAGTCTGCAGAAGGGATGGGGCATGGCAAACATGTCAGAATGGAAATATCTATGGAGATTCTGAGCCATGCAGGTCATGGTGCTTTTTTTTTTTTTTCAAGAGGCAAGTGGACTTCCTTGTTTTTCTTTGAAGATGTTTCGCTTCTCATCCAAGAAGCTCCGACTGGATGGTGGGGAATGGAAGGATTGATATTCCTTGCAGACAGCTGGTCATTTGCATTCTTTTGGAGAGGCCATTTGAAGGTTTATCTGTGTCCTCGGGGTCACCTGAGTAGTGCAAATAGGTCTAGAGCCTTCTTGGAACTGCTGAAAGGGCTGTGTTGTAGACTATAGATAGATGGTGCAGTATCCCTCTCCCACTGTTGAGAGAGTTCAGATTTGATAAATTGGCCTCTTTGACCCTCTTTCAAACCAGTGGTCCTCTCTGTCCAAAATATGGTCTTTGCGTCTTCAAAAGAATGGGCTTTGTGTTTTAAATGCAGATGGACTACTGAATCTTATCCTGATAGGTTTGTTCTCCTATGTTGTGCCGTGAGTTTATGAAGTGGTTGTTTTGTTTCCCCAATGCCTCTTGAAAAAAGAAAAGCACCTTTGGGACATGCCAAAAGTTGCTTGGACTGTAAAAGAAATGGAGGAGAGATGTACTTTCAGACTTGCAAGATTCTCTTAATGTAATGTAACCTTACAATAAAGATAAGAGCTAGTACTCCTAAGTGAGCTTCTTGTCGGGACTACCTCACAAAAGACTGACATTGAACAAGAAGTGTTGAAATCTAGGAAACCACAGAAGAGATGAATATAGATTTTAAGGATCAGAATCTAAACGTCTTGGCAAATGCTTCCATCTTCACTAAGGGAGGCACAATACCCCCTCCCCCAAATGGGGGAGCAGTATTAATTAATGACTGCTTTGTATATATTCTTTCCTTTTAAAGAATGACCGATTTTGTTTGCCTGGTTGAAAACATGGACTATGAATATGAGTATCCATCATCAAAATTACAGAGAAAATGGGTTTTTGTAAGCTACATACATGGCAACTTTTAATTTTTTAATGTAATTGCAAAAGGTCAACTAAAGTTTGGGGCTGCATCAGCAGAAGTATCATTTCTAAACCAAAGGAAGTCATAGTTCCACTTTCTCTGCATGGATAAGATTCTACTTCAAGGATTGTATCTAGTTTTGGGTATCACTCTTTAAGAAAGATTTGAACAGATGAGAAGATGATAAATGTCAGTCTGGCAGTTATAAAAGTCAAAGGGACATTTCAAGCTGACATTTAAAACAACAAAACATACATATACACACTGTACATATCATTGCCAAAAAAGAGCTCTTGTTAGCTTAAATATTGGCTTATTTCTAGGGACTCTGGCAGCCTTTCACAAATCAGTTAAATTATATTTAGTTTGTAGATGTCAGTGCCATATGCTTGGAGTCTAAAAGAGTTGCCAGAAAAAAAAAGAGACAAATTGTGACTATAATCAATTACTTTAAGCCACTATTCATTTTCAAGCAGACCACAATTTCAAGAGCCAGTTTATCTGGGTTTTAGAGCAACTTGGAGAATCTGAATCATCAAGAAGGGAGGGATCTAAGTTTTTTTTTTTAAAAAAATCTAGATTGTTCTCTGCCCCTTAGGGATGAATTTATTCTATATCATACTCCAAATTTAACTATAATTGTCTTATCAGGGTTACATCAGTTCAAAGTTGCATTGGCTAGTGCATCAGCAGAGAAGAATACTATAATAGCATGTGGCTTGGCTATCTACAGAAAAATTGGGGTGGTTTTCATTACAGTGTCAGCTTATAGCATTGTTAGTAGGATGAGTTTTAGATTGGAGGTCGTACTCTGCTCTTAAAAAACTGAGCAAAAGCATATGCCAAGCCAACTTTGGATCAACAAAAATTCAGTTCTTCCACGTTTATACTATATATGTGTGGTGTGCCAGTTGCACCCATTTCTGGTTCATGTTCACTCACAGTTACTCATGTCCTGGTGACCTCAAGAATAGACTACTGCAGTAGTGAAATCTTAATTTTTTGCCATCAGTTCTGTGGGCGTCGCTTGGTGGTGTTGGGGGGGTAAAATGGCATGGCCAACCTTTTCACAACTTTTTCAAGCATTTTTCCTACCTATTCGCCCAAACCGGCAGGAAAAAAAAGCTTTGAAAAGTTTTTTTAAAAAGGTTCCAACGATCACGCAGCACAGCTGAGTGTCATGGAATTTCTTCCCCACTTTTTAAAGCTTTTTTTTAACTACTGGTTCAGGCGAACCTAAGCATTTTTTCCTACCGGTTGTAGCGAAATGGTCAGAACCGGTAGCATTTCACCCCTGGACACACTTTATATGTGGTTGCCCTTGAAGAATATTTAGAAGCTTTCACTAGTGCGAAATGCAGCAGTACAAGTAGTTATGAGTGTGTCTTGAACAATACATGTTAAATCTCTACTTCGCAACTGTGTTGATTGCTGATTTGCTTCTAGGTTCTTTAATGTCCTGGTTTTTTTAATTTTATTTTAAAGCTTCCCGTGGCAAGAGGCACCTCTCCACAAATACATCTACCCATCCCTTCAGGTCTGGCAGAAGGGGGATATTATGGGTTTCTTCTGCTAAAAGAATTCTATCTTATGGGGCTCAAGATGCAAGCCTTTTTCTGCCACAACATCTGCACTCTGGAACAGGTGAGATTGGCCCCAATTCAAATGACCTTCAGTGAATCCTTAAAATATAGTTTTTAAAGCAGACATGGGGATTCCATGGATCTAGGAAGTCCATGCGATAACTAATTCATTGTCTCACAGTCTCCTACTTGTTTTTGTGCTTGTTTTCAACTGTTGTTTTAGCTTTGTTTTTAACTGTTTCATTGTATGCTGCCCAGAGACAGACAGCTTGCGAAATAGGCAGGTATATAATTTCAATTAAATAAATAAATATAGTATGAATTAGGCCTATGTTCAAATATTGGTTGTATTTTTTTTCTAAATTATTAATTTTTGGAAACTTTTTTTTTATTTTTCCCTTTAAAATTCATTTACAAATATACATTCTAATAGGTGCTATTAACATTTATCTGTTAACCATGAATGTTTATTGCTATCTTCTTACAAATATATAAATATATTTGGGTCACTTCCTTGCCACCCCGTGTCTCCATTTTATTCTGTAACAACCTTGCTTTTGAATTTGAAGACCAGCAGTGAAACTTGCAAAAATGACAGTCAAAGGGTATTCCACTGGAGACATTTCAAAGGATTTTTGAAGAAAGGGGAAAGAAGTTCAACAGCAACCATATCTACTTATTTTCTTCTTCTTCTTAGAACCATATCTGCTAATATAAAAACACTATTTAAAGAGATCTTAAAGAAAAGATACGTAAGAGGCAAAGAAGAATAATTTGAATACTAGAAAATAAAATAGAAGTTGTTAGCTATAACACAGAGATGAAAACTAAAGTGGGAATACAAATGATAAGCCAAGAGATGAAAAATGACCTGGATAATAGTCTATTACTGGATGTACAAATGAGAGAGTTGTTAAAGCTGGGAAGAAATTCCCAAAAAAATTTGGATGGGGATCTGATCTTATGACAGCCTCTTAATGAAGCAAAGATTAAGAATGATTGGGAGGAAAGAAAATGAATATGAAGTTGACCTGCTTGATTAGGGTAAAAACAAGGAATACATTTATAATGTTCAGAGAACCTTTTATGGAATTTTTGCTAATCCGGGACAGAAACATTAATTGGGGAATAGTTGATGGATAAGGCTTGAGATACGAGAAGAAGTAATTTTAGTAATTTATGTAATGTCATATCAATGGAGATAGACTGATACTAAATTTGCTTGCCCCTTTTTTTTAATAAAGAAGATCAGAAGTCACTTCTTTAACCATTCTTTCTTTCTTTTTTCTTTTCTGTATGCACCTTTTCCTTTCCTTTCTTTCTATTCTTTTGTTTCTCTTGGATATCAGATGGTTTAATTTTTTTTTACTCTCGTTAAAACATTTAACAAAAAGAAATTTTAAAAAAGATGCAATCAATGCTTTCCCTACCCCAAAAAATTAAAGATGATTTTAGGGGGCATTTCATTCAAAACAGTTATTTTGTACCAAGTATATTTTCTACAGTACTCTAATTTTTAAACAATACTGAAGAGATTGCATTAGAGTCAAGAGTGATAGTTGTGCAGTCCAAAGACTGACTCAAAATATTTAAAATGTGTGAATTTTAGGATAGTTGTCTTTTCATGAAATTGCTTGGTTATTTTGCTTTGCTATGTTAACCATATAATTATGGATAATGAAGTCTGCTCACATTAAACTTAGTTTTTGCAATTTGACTGCCAAAATGAAAATACAATCTTAAATGCCAGCATAAAAATCAAGCTATTGGTTCATATTACTGTTTGTTCAGTTTGTTGGTACTTCTCTAGGATTTTGGGTAAGTGTCTTTTCCCCAATTACTAGTGGCTTCTTGAATGGAAAGATGCTGGAGATTGAACCTACATGCTAGGGTCCATGCCAATACATGGCCAACTCGCCACTGTCAACTCACCATGGCCAACTCATCACAGACAATTCACCACGGCCACCTCATCACAGTCAATTCACTGTGGCCAACTTGCCACAGCTAACTCTCTGCAGGACAAGAGAAGTAGTGGAATGGAATAATTAAAGGATGCAAACAGAGGGACAGAATGAAATGTGAATAGCAAAAATTAAAATAATTTTTGTTTATTTTAAATAATTAAATAGAATTTTTAAATTGTCCTGCAGTGAGTTGTTCAGCGGTGAGTTGGCCATGGCAAGTTGTCCCGCAATGAGTTGGCCATGATGAGTTAGCTGCGACGAGTCAGCCAGGGCAAGTTGTACCATTCCCTACGTGCTACATGCAAAGATTATATTTCAAGTCTGTTCTAATGAAATAGCATATATGTATGTGATGGTATATTATTTTTATTTATTTAAGAAAATAAATGGCTATCCAACTCAACACTCAGTGACTCTAGGCGGTTTAACAAAGATAGTAATAGCAGTATAAGACACAAGGGGGTGGGGAACTCACCAAGAGTGGGGTCATACTCCCATATGAACCGTTTGGTCAGAAAACGTACAACGAGAGCTATAGGAAAGAAAAATATATCTGATGAGTTTATGACACATACTAGCCCAAGTGGTTTTAAGGAGTACAATTAAAATAAATTTTCAGTTCAGCTTATTTCTCCAATTTGATAGCTTGATATATTGAACTGGAATACAAAGATGATTCAGGCTGTTAAAATTCAACAAATTAAGGAAAATTTGTGTTAATTAACAAGTCTTTATTTATAGATACAGGCAGACTTTTTAAAGACACAATTTGTAAAGCCCTTCAATGAACCACAGAAGATGGAATAGACCCAGTCAATTCCCAGTCAAATTTATACTTTTAGAATTTGTTTTGAATGGTTTCCATGCTAAACTAAGCATATGGGAAATGTGCTTTGGATCTGTTCTCACATACATTGCAGTTTCAATTACGTTTTGCAAAAATTTCAACTATGGGCATGTTCTGGATTAGAGGTTTGACAACTGATCCTTTTGAATTTTGCAAACAACACTTAAAATCAACAGAAACTATAATTGGTTCTGTAAAACTTAATTTAGGGAAAATATAAATTAAATTTAAAGAACAAAATTCAAAACCATGTAAGGAAATTCATAGCAGTTAATTGGGTTATTTTCCCCCCATAACAGTCTCACATTTTATTTCATTGCTAGACATATCCCAGATTTCCTCAGGACAATATATACGATTCTCCTCCCCCACTTTTCTCCTGACAACAGAGAAAATTGACTTAAATCTTTACTGACGGTGATTCAACACTTGGTGTATTTAATTTGTTAAAAAAAGAAAGAAATGAAAACATATCATGGCTCTCAGCTTTTAGCAGCATCAAAGAAAGAAACGATAAACTCTAATAAGAATGTTTGTTCACGCGTTATGATCTGTTCATCCATCATCAGCAGGAGATGCAAAATCTTGTTAAGAACATTTTAGTTGAATGAATCATTAACTCTCAAGGAGTTCAAGTAAACACTCTTAATATGAGACCCCAAATTCACTTCAAACCTTCTGCAGCTTCCAGAGTTGTAAATCTGTTGCTACAAAACTTGAAGATACAATTAACAAAGATAAAAAAATAAATTCAGCATCTGAGTATTTTCTTAAGATGATATATGGAATATATGTCTAAAAAGATTGTGCAAACCAGCTGCAGATTGTTTATTAGATTTTTTTCTTGTGCTGCCCCTTGGCTTTTTAAGTTCTGGTGGAGATCTACCAATCCTACTCACTAATTCATAATCAAACAATCCCAAAGTTTCTTTTGCCAAAACAGGGCTCTATATCTGTAGGATAAGAGGTGTGATCTCTGATTAAAGGTAATATCTATGCTTACAACTCGCCAACTCTTTCCTTGCTAATGAACTAAACTGCTTGATTTCTGTCTGTCCTCAAATTAACTTGAAACATGGGAAGAAACCAGAGAGAATAGTCTGACATGGAAGAAGAAATGGAGAATCAAGCTAAAGCAGAAGTCATACCAGTTTGTTTTAATCTGCACAAACTAGTTTTCAGCATCCCATTACACTATAATTGGACTTCTTGATAGATGGAAGCAGAATGTATTCATAATTTTAGATTGGTTGGGATTAATGGATAAAGAATTTGGGGGGGAAATGGAACTTTGATGTTATATATGTTGACAGCAGCAAGAATACACTACGCACAAAAATGGAAGGACCCTTTGATTCCCACAATAGATGAATGGCTGCGAAAGTTAATGGAGTTAGCAGAGATGGCAAAATTTAGTGCTTTGATTAAAGGAAAAAAAACACAATTAATTTTGTTTCTACTTGGAATTCACTGTTGAATTTTTGCTTTGGATGGGAAAAAAAGGAAACTTTGATTTTGGGTTTTGCGGATTAGATACCGGTAGGTTTGTTGTTATAAAAATTACTGGTATAAAGGTAAAAGTTCCCTTTGCACATACAGTATGTGCTAGTCGTTCAATGACTCTAGGGGATGGTGCTCATCTCCATTCCAAAGCCAAAGAGCCAGCGCTGTCCGAAAACATCTCCATGGTCATGTGTCTGGCATGACTAAATGCCGAAGGCGCATGGAACACTGTTAGTTTCCCACCAAAGGTGGTGCCTATTTTTCTACTTTCATTTTTACATGCATTCAAACTGCTGGGTTGGCAGAAGCTGGGACAAGTAATGGGAGCTTATTCCATTATGTGGTGCTAGGGATTTGAACCACCGAACTGCCGACCTTCTGATTGACAAACTCAGCATCTTAGCCACTGAGCCATCACATCCCTAATGACCGGTATGTATTGTAGTATTACATAAAAGGAAAACTTCGAGTTTCACCTTATTCTACCGTGCCAAAAAGAGTCTGAAGTCAATGCTTTCCTTTTTCTTTTCCCCTAGTACCCCTCCCCAACCTTTTGGGCACCAGGACTGGCTCCGTGGAGAAAGGGTTTTTTTGTGGACTGGAGGGGGTGTGCTTTTGCATGCTGCCTGCATCCCGTGAATGGGCCTTCGTTTGTTGTGCATACCAGTTGCTGGCATGAAAAACCTTTCTCCATGGACCGGAGTTGGTCCATGGGCCAGGGGTTGGGGACCCTGCTTTACCCTACACTTTTTTCTTTTCCTTTTTCCTCCCCAATTTCCCCATTGTGGTCATTTTTCGTTGCATTCCTGTATTTTACATTTTGATAAACTAACGAAATATTTACTGATCCTAATTTTAGATGAGTTGGATTTCCAGAGGCAAGGATGGACAAAAACTTTGTGGCAAAAACTTCCCTGTCAGAGGGTCTCAGATTCAATTTTTGACATTCACCAAGTAACAAGAAGCATTTCAGCTTCTTCCACAGATCTTCCAGTTATCCCTATAAATAGTTTAATAGGGTAATGCACTGCATGCATCAGGAGTTTATCATTACTCAAGTTCTCCTTTCATCTGTTTTACTTTTGCTTGTACATCCTAGACAGTGGAGTTATGCCTTATTAAAAAAAAATGTTTTAGAAGAAATGCTTCAAACCACAAGACCTCTTTGCTATTCATTAAATAACCCCATCTTTCTCAGGCATCTATATAAAAATGAGTAAAAAAATGCTGTTATTTTAAGGAATGACTCATTAATGTTATTATGACTGTTTGTCAGGGGCAATTTGTTTAGGCCCTCATGGAAGATTAAAAGAAGTTGAGCTCTTTTAATAAACAGCAGGTCTTCTTCTAAATTATTTTAGATACAAACTTAAGGTAAACCGCTCCAAACTCGATTGCAGAAAATACGACTTCAGCAACAGAGTGGTCAATGCTTGGAATCCACTATCTGACTCTGTAGTTTCTTCCCCAAACCCCCAAAACTTTAACCTTAGACTGTCTATTGTCGACTTCACCCCATTCCTAAGAGGTCTGTAAGGGGCATGCATAAGCGTACCAACATTCCTACCGTCCCTGTCCTAATATTCCCTTTTTTATATCCATTTCATGTATTCATAATCATGTTTATACCTATCTGTTATCTAATACATGCTTGACAAAATAAAAATAAATAAATAAATAAATAAAATTTTCAAAGAGTCAACAAATGTACAGAGCAAGGAAGATGACCTTGGCATGGCTATGCAACATCCACCCCCCAGGATGATAGGGAATGAAACATATTTTAATTCTACAACAGGTAACATTCTAAAGCAGCTCAGATACCTCCCTAATTCTAATAATTCTCAATGCATCACTGGAGGCTTTTAAGAAGAGCCTAGACAGCCATTCCAGTATTTCAGAAGCTGCCACAAAGAAGAGGGTGTGTGTGTGTGTGTGTGTGTGTGTGTGTGTGTGTGTGTGTGTGCGTGTGTCAATTTATTTTCCAAAGCATGAGAGGGGAGAACAAGAAACAATGAATGGACAATAACCAAGGAGAGAAGCAACCTGGAATTAAGGAGAAACTTCCTAACATTGTGAGGACAATTAACTGGTGGAATAGCTTGCCTTCAAGAAATTGTTGGTGCTTCATCACTGGATTTTTTAATGAAAAGACTGGATAGTCACTTGTCTGAAATGGTATTGGGTCTCCTACGTGATCAGGGGGTTGGACTAGAAGACCTCAATGGTGCCTACCAACTCTGTTAACTATAAGCAAGAGAGGAGGTACAACTGTGATTCTGTGTTATTATAGCCAATCTCAATAAAAATAGGTTTTAACATTCCTACGGAGCTGATTTCTTGATGTGGTCTACCTAATGATTTTAACATTAATTCTGACAATCAATAGTACACAGAATCACAAGACAAAAGAAAAACCCAGTAACCTATAGCTGTTATTGCTTGCATTGAAAAAAAATCCTCAAAGCATAACAATTCATAGATATGCTATGCAAAATTTCCTACAGCCATTTCTGATGCAGGAATGACATGTGACCCGATATTTTGCCTGAGGCTTAATTGATATTTATCCACACTTCGTTATCCTATTCACGAACCATTTTCCAGTTCAACAAACTTCACAAATTAAAAAAGCCTTTCAGTATGAAAAGAAGGACTACGGGACTGACATTATAAGAGTGTCCCAATATTTGAGCAGCTGCCACAAAGAAGAGGGGGGGTCAACCTATTTTCCCAAGAACCTGAAGGCAGGAACAGAAACTATGGCTGGAAATTAATCATGGAGAGAAGCAACCTAGAACTAAGGAGAAATTTTCTGACATAGCAATTAACCAGTGGAACAACCTGCCTCCAGAAATTGTGGGTGCCCAACACTGGAGGTTTTTAAGAGATTAGACAACAATTTGTCTGAAATGTTATAGGGTTTCCCGCTTGAGCAGGGGTTGGACCAGAAGACCTCCAAGGTTCCTTCCAACTCCGTTATTCTGTTGTTGTAACTTATTCAATCTTCTACTTCCCTCATTTAGATTTCCCCCCCCTCTCTCTGAGGAGAGAAAGTCTGACCGTATCTCTGACAACTCAATTGCAAAGGTGACCCAGATAGAGAGTTTGTCAGTTAGAAAATAAGTGCTTTTGGCTATTTGGGCCAAAAGACCTTCAACGCTTATGAGCAGATTCCAAGAAGAAGTCTAAGGTGCCTTATGAAGTGTGACCCCCGGGCTCCCATCACAATTTTCTGACACGAAAGCTTTCAACAGTAAAGCAAGCTTGGGAAAAAAAAAGATTTGTATGGCTTTTTCTACCCTTAGCATTTATGTACTAATTTCCTGGGCTTAACATCCTTCAGATATATTAATTTACGGGAAGTGCCATGTTGGCAGGCATCTTCCGTAATGTTTGTAAAAATCCGTTTTCGTTTTTCTTCATTATAGTAAGACAGGCGGCCTGACACGAAGTATCAGACTTCAGCATGATTGTGTCTGTCCTGGGCACAGCTCCAAAAGGACACTGACAGGTTCAGAGAGAGTTCAGAGAACGGACATCAAGAAGGTGAGGGATGAGGACATCAAATCCTATGAGGAAGAGTGAAAGGATCTGGATATGTTTAGCCCAGTGGTGGGTTGCCAATTTTTAAATTACCAGTTTTGGGCGCGCTCCTGTGCATGTGCAGAAACGTCCGGGTGGGTGGGTGGAGCCACCACCATTACTATCAATTCGCCCAATCCGGGCGCAATCCACCTCTGGTTTAGCCTACAGAAGATATGATTGAGGGGAGATAAGCTAGAAGGATTTAGATATCTTAAACTGTTGTCCGCGGAGATTCTCAATCACTCAGGTCATGGTGTTCCATGGTCCTTTTTTCAAAAGGCAACTGGACTTTCTTTGGATTATTTTTACTCAACAGAGGGGGAGGGATAAGATACCATCTATCTCCTAGTTACAACACAGTCCTTTCAGCAGTCCTGAGCCAGTCCCAGAACCATTTGCACCCTGATTCAGGTGACTCTGAGGATACAGATAAACCCCTCAACTACTCAACTACTTTCAAAGTACTAAGGACCAATCCTCAGAGTGCTAATGATGATCCTCCCATCCCCCACCAATTAGTTAGAACTGAAGAAGCTTCTTGGATGAGAACAAAATGTTTTCAAAGAAAACAAGACAAGTCCAGTTGCCTTTTGAAAAATAAAATAAAACATCTTTGTGATGACCTTAAGCTGTTGATGTGATTATGTGATTATAATGTTGATGTGATTATGCGTGCATAAGTGCACCAGCATGCCAAATGTCCTTGCCCTACTTTATTTGTACCTATTCCCTGTGATTTATTTGTACCTATTCCCTGTGATCTTGTCCATGTTTATTCTTATTCCTGTTATCTTGTACATGAGTGACAAACTAGAAGCAGACTTATTCTCCATTGCTTCAAGAGGAAGGGCAAAAAAAACCCAACAGGTTAAAAATACAGGAAGGAAGCACGACTTAAAATTTCCTGACTTATTTAGCCAAAAGAATGGATACCACACAAAATGGTGAGTTCTCCTTTATTGGAGATCTTCATACAAAGATGGAAATATCATGTGTCAGAAATGCATAGTGGATTCTGCACTGAGCAAGGCTTTGAATTACATGTTCTCTAAGAGCCTGTCCAACCCGTTTCCCCCCCCCCCCCCACCAAATACTTAAGTCTTTCTTTGGCTCCAGCCATAGGAAATAAAAAGGTAGATATCTGCAATCTATAGCAATAGCAATAGTAGTTAGAATTATATACCGCTTCATAGGGCTTTCAGCCCTCTCTAAGCGGTTTACAGAGTCAGCATATTGCCCCCACAGTCTGGGTCCTCATTTTACCCACCTTGGAAGGATGGAAGGCTGAGTCAACCCTGAGCCGGTGAGATTTGAACTGCCGAACTGCAGCTTAGCAGTTCAGCTGAAGTGGCTGCAGTACTGCACTCTAACCACTGCGCCACCTCGGCTCTAATCTATGACTTTCCTGGAAACCTTAGACTTACCTGCTCAGCATATTGAGTTGTTGCATTCTGGAAGGTAAAGACATGGAGAGTTTAACATCTCGACCCACATCTGTAGGGCTTCTTTCCCACTTGGAGGAAAAATGGTCTTATGGAGCAAACTATCCCTATAATCCTTTTCAAAACCTATAGGGGCAAGTGTTTCATCTATACCCATTCCAGGTCTAATCAATCCATCAATCCATCAATCAATCAATCAATCAGAATAGAGCTGAAAGGAATCTTGGAGTTCTTCTAGTCCAACTCCTTGGTCAAGCAGGAGACTCTATATCATTTCAGATATGGTATTTTTCAGAGTATAAAACACAGCTTTTTCCCTCAAAAAAGAGGCTAAAAATCTAGGTGCGTCTTATACACTGAATACAGCATTTTCCCCCTCCTGAAACCCAGCCCCCTTCACCAAAATGGTCATGCAGAGCCTTTAGGAGGCTTCCAAAGTGCTCCTGGGGGCTGGGGAGGGCAGAAATGAGCGAAAAATTGACCATTTTTTGCTCAATCCCTCCCCCCCCCCGAGCACTCCACAAGCCTCCTAAAGGTTATTCATGCCCTTTTAAAAAAATGGGCCATTTTTGGGAGGTCTGCAGAGTGCAAAACCCTTTTTTTTTTAATTTGCCTCTTCAAAATTTTGGTGCATCTTATATTCTGAAAAATTCGCTAGCTGATTGCCCAGTCTGTTCTTAAAAACCTCCAGCACCTACAACTTCTGAAGGCAAGCTGTTCCACTGCTTGATTGTCCTCACTGTTAGGAAAGTTCTAGGTTACTTCTCTCCTTGATTAGTTTCCAAGCATTGTTTCGTGTCTTGTCTTCTGGTGCTTTGGAAAATAAGTTGACCCACTCTTCTTCGTGGTTATCTTGATAATCACTGGACACATTCTCTGAGCAACATTTTAGTTAGGCAGGACACCTAGAAATAGTGTGACTCCCAAAGCCAAAACTGATTGTCTTATGTGTATAAGGCACCTAAACCTGTTCACTTTATCCACTGACTCACTAAAACAAAGCCCTAACATGGTTTTTCTAAGACAGAAAATGCCCCCCAAAATGTTTCAAGACTCTGAAGAGCAAGTAAATTAAATTGAGATCCCAAATCACTTGTTTTACATCCTTCCCACTCAATAGGAAATGAAATTTTAATGTATTTCATAAGGAAGCTCTTTGGTTCTTCAGATTTTCTCCAAAATAGGTAATAGGGAAAGCAAAGATAAATGATTTGCTACTCTTCTCTCTTCCTCCATCCTCCTCTTGTCCTCTAATTGATAAATTTCAAAATGCATTGTCATAATTCAGGATCTGCCCCAGAGGTTTCCCTTCTCTTCTTTCTCCTCCCCATTGGCCACTGCACGGTCACATCAACTTCCAGCCCACAAGCAAAAGCAAATTTTGAGTCCATTACTCTGTTGGCTTCCACCGCAGTTTTTTTTAAAAAAAAAGAGTATAAATTGTCCATGCAAGTTAGACAAATAAAGCTATATCTTTCACGTCCCTCAAGAGATCTGTGCAGTCTCAGGAAATTCTGAAGAGGAGACGAAAGATAAAAGGGGCAAATTAGAAAATGAAGGAAGCTGTGTTAGAGGTGGGAGAAGAGGGGCCTTGATTGAATAGAATAGAATAACAGAATTGGAAGGTACATTAGAGGTCTTCTAGTCTACCCCCCTGCCTAGGCAGGAAACCCTACACCACTTCAGACAAATGGTTATCCAACATCTTCTTAAAAACTTCCAGTCTTGGAGCATTCAGAATTTCTAGAGGCAATTTGTTCCACTGATTAATTGTTCAAAATTAATTGGGCGAAATGAATTTTTCCATATACCAGGTATATGATCTTTCACTGAATTATGTCCTGTCCGTATTCCACAGTAAATATGCTTACATGCATACACACACATGGCCTTTTATAATAAGCCCCCTTTCTTCTGTTTGAAGAAAGAATTCTAAGGCACAACATCTAGTTCCTGGCCCTGCTTTTTATAAGTTTAATAGTGCTGGAGGTCATCTAGTCCAATCCCCTGCTCCAGCAGGAAACCCTATAACATTTCAGACAAATGGCTGTCCAATCTCTTCTTTAAAACTTCCACTGTTGGAGCATTCACAACTTCCGGAGGCAAGTGGTTACACTGATTAATTGTTCTCACTATCAGGAAATTTCTCCTTAGTTCTAGGCTGGATCTTTCCTTGATTAGTTTCCACCCATTGTTTCTTGTCCTGCCCTCAGGTGCTTTGGAGAATAGCTTGACTCCCTCTTCTTTGTGGGAGTCCCTAAGATATTGGAACACTGCTATCATCTCTCCCCTAGTCAGTGGTGGGATTCAGCCAGTTCGCACTTATTCGGGAGAACCGGTTGGTAACTTTCTAAGTAGTTCAGAGAACCGATTGTTGGAAGAAATCTCCTTTTGCTTTTTTCCACTTTACAGGGCTAATCCTGTAAGGAAGGCAGGAAGGAAACATTCTGGTGTTGTTTCTAGCCTAATCTTTATTGACCTGCTTACAGAAAC